GTATCTTAATATCATCTCGCGGCTTTGCATAATTCTGGTCTTTACCTAAAAGAATTTCTGTTTTTTAGAGACCATCGCTGATTTAGCGTGCATCCACATAGAAGTGAAACAGAGCACAGTGTTTATTGTCTGCTCATTCATAAAGCAGCATAAGGGTTGTGAGCCGGGGGTGCTGTGTGAGGCGCTGAGTAGTATGTGGATATGAACGGGTAAGCGGTCCCTGCCCTGCCCCCGGTGGTATTCGCTCCAGGAAGTTAGAACAGAAAGCACTTGATTAAACAGTTGACCCTGAAGTTTGAAAATGAAAACTTTGGCACTAGTGGGTTGCATTCCCTTAAAGACCAGGCAGATCTTTATCCAGCACGGGCCCTGGCGGCCTCTCCCACGGCTTCCTCGGTGCACTGGCGAGCTCCCTTCCGCAGCTGATGGAAACGAGAGGGCTCGCTGCTCCGTCAGATGCTCCGATCGTCATTTTCCCACCATCTTTCGTTCTGTAAATGCAGTTCTAAATTAATTCAAGTTAAAAAACATTATTTTGCTCATTTTTTATTTCCCTTCTTGTCCCTTTTGGCACGACCCAAAAGGCAGTAAGAATATAAATGCCTGTTCCACTTTTGTGATGAAACAGAAACGCTTCCATTCAGAGGTGCAGCTGGTGTTGTCTGGTGGTGCTTCATACAGCATGACTCAAAGGCCAGAAGCGAGCCTCCGCCACACGTGCGGTGAGCATGTGCCTTTCGCGATGCCACTGTCACAGCAAATGGCAGTCTGAAAATCGAGTCATGCATAGCCTGTGATTTTTTTTTTATACTGTGTGTGTCTGAACAAAAAAAATTAATGATTGTACAGCAAAATAGTTCCGTCACATACAAAATGAAAACCTCACAAGATTTAAAAAGGGACAGTGGTTCCCAGCAAACCCTGACCCCGGCACACCCCCGCAGGGGCAGCAGTTGCCACTGTTCTGAACCCCTCTTCCTGGAGATGCTCTGTCCCTGCACCCCTGCCAGGGCATTTGCTTTTCTCCCAGAGTGAAACGCTTGCATCAGACAAATGTATGTTTGAAAGTGCAGATTCGAGAAGCGAGTAGTGTGTGTGGAAGGTGTCCCGTTTTGAAGGGAGTGATGCATCAGAAGAGAAGTGTAGAGTCATCTGTGGACAGTGATGTCGGGGTGGGGGTTCTTAGGAGGCCCTGGGGAGTGTGCTCTGTTCCTTAGCCGACTCAGTATTGTGCAGACTCAGATAAACAAGAGCATAGCATCCTTCCTAATACAGAATACTGTTTCAAGTGTGAGACACACGTTCAGAAGGTCTTCCCATGGTGCGAATATGTGCCTGCATGTGAGGGGTTGGCGTTTCCTTAGACTCAGGTGTAACTGGTTGACCCTCTAAGGACAAAGTGTGTTGCCATCTGTGTTTAGCTTTGAATTAATGGTACCAAGTTGAAATAAAATTCTTACAGAAAAGTGATTTTTTAAAAAAGGTTTATTTTTTAATTTAATTTGAAAGGCAGAGTTACAGAGGGCAGGAAAGATAGTGATCACCGGTTCACCCCCAAATGGCTATAAAGGCTGGGGCTGGGCCAGGCTGAAGCCAGGCACCAGGAGCTTCTTCTGGGTCTCCCATGTGGGTGCAGGGGCCCGAGCAGTTGAGCCATCCTCCAGTGCTTTCCCAGGCCATTAGCAGGGAGCTGGATCGGAAGTGGAGCAGCTGGGACATGAACCATTGCCTGCGTGGGATGCCAGCTTTGCAGGCGATGGCTCTACCTTTCTGCCATGCTTTACAAATGATTTAGCCAGAAAACAGAAGAGGGAATGGAAAACATGTTGTTATGTCTTGTCCATCTTATTTCTCATCATAAATTTGTTTTGCAAATGCCTGTTGTTGTTTTCTTTCATGTTATTGTCGGAACACTCGTGGCTCCATTCAAGAAGCACAGAATGATCGTTTATGGTTCCTGATTAATGATAATAATTTTGCAGCCTAACTAGTTCAGGTTCCTTGTTTCCAAATTGAAGAACTGCCCAGAATGACACGTAACGGCCAAGAATGGACTCGTCGGAAGGATAAAAAAGAGCAACTTGATAGAATATTCATAGTGGGTTTTAAATCTTGTTACTCATTGATTGAATGATTCCATTTCTCTGACTGTATCCTTGGCTAGAAATCTGTTGTAACATCCTGGAATGGGCAGCCTGATAGATTGTTTTCTGACATGATTCGCAACTAGCAGAAGGAAACCTCCATAGCCAGCTAGAAGAAGCATCAGGTGAATCTCAGCAGAGGGCCGGAGCCAAGAGGGTCCACAGTGGACCGCAACAGTCAGGAAGTATGGTTTTTCAGGAAAAAAGTGGGTAACAAGAAAATTTTTTTTAAAGAAGATTTTGTTTATTTATTTGAGAGGTAGAGAGAGACAGAGACATCTCCCATCTGCTGGTTCACTCCCCAAATGGCTGCGATGGCCAGGGCTGAGCCAGGAGCCAGGAGCTTTTCTTCTGGGTTTCCCACATGGGTGTAGGGGCCCAAGGACTTGGGCCATCTTCTGCTTTTCCAGGTCATTAGCCAGGGAACTGGATCGGAAGTGGAGCAGCTGGGACTTGAACCAGTGCCCATATGGGATGCTGGTGCTGCAGGCAAAGGCTTAACTGGCTATACCACAGCGCCGGCCCCAAGAGATTATTTACAAAATAAGGTTGAATATTACAGAATGTTAGACAACTTCATGCCTGCCTTTGTCAAAAGCGTGTGTGTGCATGTGTATATTGAGGAATTTTTGTTCTTTTCCCACAACAAATATGTATTTTAAAAATGTGAGAATGTTCTAAATAATCTTTCAAAATATACTACAGAAAATAATTATGAATATTTGTTTTTTTTTCTTTTTCAGCTATTAGTAGTTTTCTTTTTAAATGATTTTCTTCTGTCTCAGGCTTTAGTACAATTGAAGGATTCTTTCATTTCTAATAATTTTTTAAAAATTCTACTTTTGAATCATGTCTGCTTTATTCATGAATGTATCTGAAGATGATCACGAAGAGGTAGTGATTCTTTCCTTGAGTCTGATGGAATTTTACCCTCAACGGCTTAGGGAATGTGCTTTTATTGTGGAGCTTTATGAGTTTCGTTCAGCACAGCTATCTCAGTTCCTCCGCTGTTCTTGCACGAGGAGTATCTTTCCTCACTTTCACAAGTGGTTTCTCTCCCTCCTCTCTCCCTCCCTCCCTCCCTCCTCCTCTCTCTCTCCCTCCCTCCCTCCTTCTCTCTCTCTCCCTCCTTCTCTCTCTCTCCCTCCTTCTCTCTCTCTCATCCCAGACTTTATTTTTTATTTTCTACTTTAGGTCAAAACGGCTTGTCATTATTTTCAAATGAGGTTTCTAGCAAAATCATCCACAAATAACCGGGAGACCTAATGAGCTTTGATGAAGTAAAGCTCTGTGTGTGTTTACTCTTAATGCTCCTTAGTTTCAGCGTTCATAGTCTACTCACTGTGGATTAATTATAAGTCGGGGACAAGTGGCACTTGTGCACATATGCTCTAATAATGTGAACTGATAAAATACAAGAACACACATCCTGATGGCGATGTAAAATGCAGGCATCTGCGTGTGTGTGTGCACATACCTGTGAGTGTGTGCTCAGGATTCACAGTGCTTGAAGTTCAAAGTCAGGCAGAGGCAGTGGAGTAAGTTGCAAAACAGCCCTTCCCATGAAGGGAATGTGCTTGAGTACAAAACAGAGCTCTGAATGTTAGTTTTACATTTCTATTTGATGGAATCTAAGGTTATGGAAACGACTGTAAAAATAATTTGTCTGAAAGGAGTCTGGATGCAGAAATCTAATAGAGAAAATATTTGAGAATATGGTTCATCGGCGAGTGCAACAGATACTCTTCCCCAAGCACCACATGGCGCGGATCAAAGCATCCCATGACTTGGATCTGTGTGGCCAAATCATTACGTATTGATTGGAACCCCACTGGAGGATTAACCCCTTCTTGTTCATGCTATGTTGTCTCTCACTCTTGGTGTCTGTAATTTTAGAACTATCACCTTCCTGCCATTATTAGCTTTATTTTAAAAGGCAAATCATATACTTAGCTATCTTTGTTTTACTAAATTATTTTGTTATTCTTCTAAATTTAATTGCACTGTTCTTTGCTGGATAAAATTGTAAGGGGAAAAAAGTCTGGGATTATACGAAAGCACTTTCTAGGGGAAAGAAGGAGGAAAAAATATTTAGCTTTCTGGGTAGGAAACATAGCAATAGAATCTCAAAATCAAGTAGGTTTTACGCTTTTCACTATGTAGATGCAGTAAGTTCTGGCTTTTAAAGAATCCCTTGCAGTCTGACTAGAGAGCTTTGCATTGAATAAAAAGCCTGTCAAAAACCTGTCACATATAGATGTATGTTTCTAATGTTTAGGTAGTTGCACCTGAATGTGTTTAGAACATAATGGTGAGCTGGCGCCGCGGCTCAACAGGCTAATCCTCTGCCTAGCGGCGCCGGCACACCGGGTTCTAGTCCCAGTCGGGGCGCCGGATTCTGTCCCGGTTGCCCCTCTTCCAGGCCAGCTCTCTGCTGTGGCCCAGGAGTGCAGTGGAGGATGGCCCAAGTGCTTGGGCCCTGCACCCCATGGGAGACCAGGAGAAGTACCTGGCTCCTGCCATTGGATCAGCGCAGTGCGCCGGTCGCAGCACTGGCCGCGGCGGCCATTGGAGGGTGACCCAACGGCAAAGGAAGACCTTTCTCTCTGTCTCTCTCTCTCACTGTCCACTCTGCCTGGTGAAAAAAAAAAAAAGAAGAACATAATGGTCTAACTCTTATAATGTAACTCTTTGTCACTATTAAACGGTACAGAATTAATGAGCAAATTCCAGGGGAAGAGGCAGTCAGAGGGTTGTCATGTCATGTGCACAGTCGGCTGTGAGGCCGCCTCTTTGCTGGTGGCCTGGCTCTCAGTAGAAGGCTCATTCTCTTGTCTTCTGTGGTTTTTCTTGCAGTTTGTCCCATGAGGAACATCCCCATAGCCACCCTCTCTATGGACACGGCGTGTGCAAGTGGCCAGGCTGTGAAGCAGTGTGTGAAGATTTCCAGTCGTTTCTAAAGTAAGAATGACTTGATTTTGTTTTCTTCTTTTTATAGCCACCCCCTACCCCGCCCCCGGCACCATTCGTGCTTTTGCTTATGTTTGCTTATAAAGTCCATTTCCGATGGAGAGTTTCAACCCACCCTCTTCAGCATAGCCTCAGAAATCACAAGTTCTCTTCCTCTGTCAAAGGAATGGGTACAAAATCTACTAGGGGATGCCCTGCAAAGGGAAAAAGACTTAAACCTGCAGGCAGGAATACTCTTACTAAAACCCTATATTTACCCATTTTTCAGATTGACAGTGATTCCTAAAAAATTCCCCACTGTTAAACTTCCAGCAATTTAGTTGCCATTTTACTCATGTCCCTCCATATTACAAATCACTGACAAATGTACTAACTAATTTTGTAGCACTGTTGACCATGACTGGCCAATGTCATCTTGGTGAGTGGGCCCTTTCTTTCTTGATCTACACATGACTTCACAAATGTGAGAAATGGATGCTGAGGAAATGATACCAGTTTGATTCTTCTCTTCCTTCCTCACATACTGTTGGTGACTTTTGTTCAGGTTCTTGCCCTGAGAGACAGAAAGGAGTAAGTGTATTTTTTACAGTCTTGGGTTTACCCATTTGAATCCATTATAAGGATAGACTGTCTCCATATATAAGTGATAGGTTAAGTCTTCCCAAAGCTGTCATGAAAAACTTCAACACACCTTCATATTTACCTAACCTGTGTTACATTGTCATTTAAAAAATTACACTTACACTAACTTGTTTTTTTAACATTACATAAATATATTCATAATATCATTTATTATTGACATAGGAACTAAATTTATACTTGATAAATATGTAATTTAATAAACTAGGTACATATATCATGTACAACCAGATGTGCAGATGTGTGATGGTTTTATTTATTACAATTTTATTTATTTTCACTTTATTTGAAAGGTAGAGAGATAAGAGAGCTTGCCCGTATGCTGGTTCACTCAAATGCCTACAACAGCCAGGGCTGGGCCAGGCCAAAGCCAGGAGCCTAGAACTCAGTCCAGATCTCCCACGTGGGTGGCAGAGACCCAAGCACTTGAGACATCACCTCTGCCTCCCAGGGTGCGCATTAGCAGGAAACGGTCAGACGTGGCAGAGCCAGGTCTCAACCCAAGCACTCTGCTTTGGGGTGCAGGCATCCCAAGCGGCGCATTACCTGCTGCCCAGTTATCTGTCCCCGGATGATGGCTTTCAGCTTGGATGCTGGGGACTCTTTTCCTCATTGAAGCCCCGGGGAAACAGAGGTAGTTTGATTGATGTGTAGTCTCCACTGTTGTGTGGCCTCTATACAGTTAGAACAGTTTGTGTGTCTATCTTTGTGAACCTGGGTAGAAATAGTGTAATAAAACCACCCTTAGGGATATGTCTCGTGTTACCTGCACGTCGCTTGGGTGAATATAGGTTTTTGACTAATGAATGGAAGCCTGTGAGTGAATCAGTTGCATAGAGTTCTGTCTTCAGTATTTTACTTCAAGTGGATGATGTTGTCATTGGGATCTTAACTACTTAAAAATTTTTCTGGAAACAGATGTCCAAAATTGCTTCCGCGTTCAGCAATTAAGAGCAGTGAGGCTTTGTTTTAAATCAAGCAATAATCCCTTACAATTATTTTGGTGCAGGATAGTGATACTGGGCTTCATTCCCTTATAAATCACTGGTTCTACAATCATTGACAATTTCCCAATCGTATCTGTGTAATGAGAGAAGAACTATAGAAACCACTTTTAAAATGTGATTTTTCCTTCTGCACCAGGGCTAAGTTTGAATAAATATCTTGGTGCTGATTCCCTTCATCCATGGAATGGCTAATAAACCCCTATAAATATGATTTATTTTTATAAAGTCTCTGGAACTATGAAGTTGCTATCAGCACTCTTGATGACATGGATCTATTTTAGTGTCAGAGGGAAATGCCAGTTTCCATATTAGACACGTTTAACAAATCTTATTTGTGGTCACAGTATCTCTACTGTGACAATCCTCAAATCATCGGTTCATTTATTAGGAAATACATATAATATTGGAAGGAGAGAACATAATTTCAAACCTTGAATACTAGAGAAAAGAATCTTAAAAATCATTAGAACTGAAGCATAGACTTGATTTGTATAAGAAAGGCCATTTCTCTTCTAAGAGTATCAGTAGTCTGGTCTGGCTGTTGTATAGGAAACCATCCATCAGTCATTTATTGCAGATTTGCACCTGACGTTACGTGTTCTCACTTCCTGTGTGCCTGCTCGAATAAGAATGCCCACTGTCACCCTGCAACTGTTGCTTGATTGTTTCCTCCTATGTGTTTATTGACTTATGTTTGTCATAAGATTTGCAAGTCATAGAAACCCAGCCTCACTTGGTTTAAGCAAATGAGAAAACCCAAAAGTAAGGAGTGCTAACTGGCCCCCGTAGCTACGAAGTCCAGTGGGGTAGCTAGCTGCAAGCGTGGCTGGAGCCAGATGTTCAAACAGGGTGTTGGTGGTTGAATAGCTGCATGTTCCTCAGTGTCGCCTGCACTCTCAGGCTCTTTCCAAATGGAACTAAAGAGGAAAGGTTTACGTGCCACAAGTTTGTGAATCCCATAGTGCATCTCTTTCCCCACAGTTCTAGAAAAAGCCCTGGGCACACTGCCATTGACTCAGGTTGAGTCATGAGTTCTAGCTTTGAGCCAATCACAATGACATACTCAGGCGTCCTTCACAGTACCGCCTCCTGAGCAGAGGGAGATGTGCGCCCCACAAGAGCCACGTGGGGGTCAGGGCTGAGAGACTTGGTTCCAGAAAATAAAAATGAACTTTGAAAACCAACAAGTAGAACACAAAGTTCTCTTGGTGCTTTCTTGAGTTACACATTGATCGGTTGTGTAGGATAAATTCAAGATTTCCATTTTCTTCTACAGCATACTCTTAACTCTCAGAAATTCCTGTTTTCAGGTTTCAGGAGCTTGCGTAACACAGTGGAAAATAAGTCAGTTATCTTGTAGACTCACATCTCCCACGTCTCTCCTCAATCTAAAGGGAAATCAAATTGGCTTCAATGAATCCAACTTTGTTTTCCATTGAACTAGGCTGCAAGGAGCTACCAGACCCCTTGTGGTTCAAATGAAAACCACATGGCTTCTTTGAATGATGCCATTATGGGGTCATTATCATCAGAGTGATTTTTCAAACTTTTGTTCTCAATTTTCTGGATCTATAGATTCTGAAAGTGTCTCTTTTCTAGATCTACTCCTCTCTGATTTAGTAGTGATTTCCTAAAGATACCAGTGGTGCTTGGATTCTCTGTGATATGCTTGCACTCAGTAAAATGCAGCATTGAGTTGACCTTGATTTAGGTGTTAACTAGAGGACCTATTTATTTATTTATTTCCTCGTCTCTGATTTTACACTTCCCTAGTAATAGTTGATAATTAGGTTAGCCAAGTGCTTCATAAACATTAACTCTTCCTGATCCTGGCAACTGCTTTATCCTGTTAACTTTGTAGCATTATCCCCAGCACACAGTCAAGGAAAGAAAGGCACAGAGTAGTTAAGTGATTTACCCAAGATCACACAGCTGGTAAGGGGTGGAGCCACAACCCAAACTGAACCAGTCAGGCTTTGGAATATACACTTGTTCTTAAATGCTGCACTATCCTGCCTGGCCAGAGGAGGCGCATTTCATTAATGATTTGCTTTGTAGGTAGGGCTGTGGAGGAAAGAAAATGTTGGAGAAAAGCAGATTGGGCAGTGAAGGGGTTGGAGAAGGGTGAATTGGTCACCACCTTGTAGTACTGCGCTCTTTGAGCTGGTTCCATAGCACCAGTAAGCCTCATATGGGCATGAGTAATTGGGGACATTAATAACTACCCCTTACAGTGGTTAGAATTCAGAGTGGCATTGTGTAAAGTGCCTTCCTCATGTTAGGGGCTCCTCCAGGATCTTAGCCCTTCTTGCCTATTCAAGTATATTTTCAAAGGAGGGATAATTTTAAACAATCCCAAAATTCTGACCTTGTATCTAGGAGCAGGAGTTGTGACCATGCAAAGCACTGATGTTTCAGTAAAGACTTTTTTCATCTAATTTCTAATCACAAATTTCTGATAAAAAGTCTCAGACAGCCAAATGTGATCTCAGGGCAGGGGATGGTGAATTTCTTCCAAAAAGGGACAGACAGTAAATCTTTTCAGCTTTGTGCAAGCCATGCTGCGTCTGCCGGTACTACTTACCGCAGCTGCTGTAGCAGGAAGGTAGTTGTAGACCAGAAATGAGGAATGAGCAAGGTTTTGTACCTTGCTCACCACTGATCCGGCTAATGCTTTTGGTGCTACCATTTGTTTTTAGCAGAGGAGCATTTTGGCCACCCCTGGATACTGCTCTCCTGAGTTGTGTTAGTTTGACTTCAGAGAGCCCACAATTCAGTTCACATTTGGGGGATTACATGGGCCCATTCTTTCATTCATCAGCCATGGTTTTGTTTTGTTATTTTTAAATATTTAAACATTTTATTTATTTTTATTTACTTGAAGGGCAGAGTGAGAGAGAGAGAGACAGAACTTCTGTCTGCTGATTCACTCCCCAGATGTCTACAGCAACAGGGGTGGGGGTAGGCCAAAGCCAGGAAGCCAGGAGCTCAATCCAGGGTTCCCACATGGTGGCAGGCCCTTGAGTCATCATCGGCTGCCTCCCATCTTGTGCTTTAGTAGGAAGCTGGTTGAGAAGCAGAGGCAGGACGTGATACCAGACTTGAGACTTGACACGGGATCTGGGCAGCCCGAATGGTGGCTTCATGCCCTGCACAACACCTATTCCAGTTTTATAAATTTTTATTTCTATTTGAGAGGCTGAGGGAGAGGGAGGGAGAGTCTTCCCATTCACTGGTTCACTTCCCAAATGCCTTCAACAGCCAAGACTGGACCAGGGCCAAAGCCGGCAGCTGGGAACTCAATCCTGATCTCCCAGCTCGGTGTCAGGAGCCCAACTACTGGAG